AACGGACAGGGTTTACCGTAAGTTGGATACAAAGGTCCGAGTAATTATTCAAATTCGTCGACAGTGGGATTTGAACCTCAGACCTCTTGCATGGCAGTTTGGCAACCTAACCACTACACTAAGATCACCAGACCTTTTAGTAATAGTTTGTTAAAAATTTATATAAATTAATTTTAATAAAAAAAATTATAAATTTTGTTTAATATAAAATTTTTTGAGTATAATCATGAATTCAACTTCTATTTTATGTGATAGTATTTTTATTAATACTCATTCAGAATTATCATCATTATATCAACAAATAGAAGAATTTCAAATAATTTATCAATCTAATGTTGAAGTAATATCTAATAATTCAATTAAACAATATTCTTATAATCAAGAAGAATTAGATGAATCTATTATAACAGATGAATCTAATATAAATGAACCTATTTTAAATAATAAACAAATAAATAAATTTAAAAAATTTATTTTAAAAATAAAATTAAAGATATTGAAAATGATAATGAAGATTCAATTCAAAAAATTAAAAAAAATTAAATAAAAAAGATGAAGAAACTCAATATATAAAATTACAAACTACAATATGTTATAATAAAAAATGTCTTCAAAATTTAGTTTTTCATGAACATGCTATTTTAAATTATTAAAAATTTTAAAATTTAAATAATAATAAAAAGAATTTATTTTTATTTGGAATAATATCTGCAACTGCTCGACAAGAAACTACTGCTAAAGGACAAAAACATAGTAGACTTACTAGTAAATATATATTTAAAGAAATAGAAATTTGTAGTGATATATTTTTAATAATTTATGGAATTAGAGAAAAATATTAGAGAAATATTAGAACACATTTATTCAACAAGAAATTAGTCTAAGAATATATAAATTAACTAATAAAATTAGTAATTTTGCTATATTATTTGAAACAATTTTAAATATACTTACTTTTATAATTAATTATACAAATATTCATAGTTTACTTTCACCAGGTATTTATTTAAATCTTTTTTAATTTTTTATTTTTAAACTAATTTAATTTTTTTAATTAATAAAGAATGATATTTTTATAAAGATATATTACCAATAACTTTTCTTTCTTCAAATAAAAGTTATTCTTTATTATATCGATTATATATATCAGCAATAGAAGAGCAAGATCAAAATATATTATATTTAAGTACTTTTTGACATATTTGAAATAAATATATTCCAGAAATTAAATTTTTATCTCCAAGAAGTAATTTATATTATAAATGTAAAAATATGAGATTTAATTCAAAATATTGAACTGAACAAGAAACCAAAAAAAATATAAATGAATAGAATCATCATTTTTTATAGGCACAAAAAAAAAGAGAATATTATAGGTATTATTTTATTTTTAATAAAATTTTAAATATATAATTTAAAATTTCTTATATAATTATTAAATTTTAGAAATTGTATTCAATCAGCAAAATTTGCTTTATAACAATTTCCTAATTTTTCTAATTTTTCTTGACCTAATAGACCAAATTTATTAAAAATTGAAAATCATATATCATGGGATTATGCTGAACAAATAAAAATACAATATTCTTCACAACAAGAGGTAAAAATTAATTAAATTTAAATTTTTAATTTATTTTTTTAATAATAATATAATATATTAATTTTTAAAAAGGGAAATATATATTTTAAATCTCCTTATAATATTCAACTATTTGGAATTTGAGAAGATGCATTTCTAATTCAAGTAACTATTTATATTAATTTAATATTTATATTAATATTTATTTATTAATAATAAAATTTTAATTTGGAGAAATTATTTAATAAAAGAAGAAGAAAGTATTAGAAAAAGTGCAAATGCTGTTATATCATTAATATATTATTATTTTACTTTTTATAGATTAGGTAAAACCAATTTAGTTATTCATGCAAATAATTGTACTGGACAAAATAAGAATAATACAATGATCATATACTTAGCATAGTGAGTTGTATATAAATTACATACAAAAATTACATATTCATTTATGGTAGCAAGTCATACAAAATTTAGTTTAGATGAATTTTTTAATCTTCTTAAATTAAAATTAAGAAAATCAGAAGTTAATAATCTTGATAATTTAGTAGAAGTAGTTAAAAATTCAACAAATAGAGGTTTTAATCAAGTACAAACTATTTTTGATAAAAATAAGAATAGAATAGTATATTTTTATAATTGAACAGAATATTTATCAAAATTTTTTAAACTAATTCCTAATATTTTAAAATATTATCATTTTATATTACATACTAGTAAAAATAATATAGGTAAAGTAGAAGTTAAAAAAGCAATTGATGAAGATAAACAAATTATAGATATTTTAAAAAATATTAATATTATAAGATTTCCTCAAGAAATTTTTCTTAAAGAATTATCAGCAGAAAGACAATAATATTTATATAAACAAATATGTCAACATATTAAAGATCTTCAAAAAAAGAATGAATATTGTCTATTACCAAAAATTCAAAAACCAAAAAAATTATAAAAAAATTTATATTATTAATTATAATTTTATTACAATAATTATTATTAAACAATTACTAAATAAAATTTTATTACTATTTTTATTTTTATTATTTTATTAATATTTATTATATTCAAATTTATTATATAAAATAATTAAAATAATTATTTTTTTTTTTTTTAAACAGATAAACTCTTTCTGATGATCCTTCGTACCAAAAATTTCCAACTTATTTTTTTTAAAAAATATACAATAAACTTTGTAGAAACATAAGAGCAACAACACAGAGAAGCATAAGATAGCACCTGTTATTTAGAGATAGTTCTCATATGCTATCTGCTAACAGGTTTAGAGTTTATTACTCACTGCAATATCATAGTAGCACTTGTTATTTAGAAGTAGTTCTTATATGCTACTTGTCGATAAACTTAGAGTTTATCACTCACTCACAGAAGATAAGTACTAGTTACACTCTAGGTGAATACAAGTTGATAGTAGATTTTGGAAAATAGATACTCTCTTTAAATTTTTTTAGCACTACTACTATTTCCCTCTGGACCTTTAGATTTCTCTATACCGAAAAATAAAAAAGTAGGAGATTTGGTAAACCCCTGACAAAGGATCTGCAAGTTTGTATCACTTTCTAATTTGGTAAGTCATCTGTTGATATGCAACTTAGATAAGACAACAAATATGTACATCACCATTACGTAGATGATCCAATTAGGATTTAACTTCTGAAGAAGTTTATTGCTAGAGATATGCGTTCTTGTTTTTGCATAGTATAATATTTTTATATTTTGTTATACTCTTTTTTTCTTTATGTTAATTAGAGTATTTGTTTTCTTTTATTTCTTTACTTTACTTTTTTTACTTATAAGGATTTTTTAATCTGGTAGCAGATTTTTCCCTTATAAGTTTAGTTCATATAATTTGCTATGTTTCATTATATGTAACAATTTTTTTTTTTTTTTTGAGTTGTTAGGACCATCTGAAGTATAGGAGGGTTTGGGTAACTAAATCTGATAGTATGGATTTAAAAGACTAACTATAGCATACTACATATAGGTATCATTTGGGTAATCAGATAAGTTTCAACTGAGTAGTTAGATACATGAGAATGTAAATTTGAATATAAAAAGTTTGCTTCGCAAACTGTCTAAATAAAGTTGAGGCATGGCTGCTAAATTTTAAAAAAAAAATTAAAATAATGATATAAATAAATTTAAAATTTTAAATACAGGATATTTTTTTTTCACAACTCTTTCCGTAGATCATTTGGTCACAAAATTGAGCTAAAAGTTACTACATAGATAAACTATTAAACTCACTAATTAACATCCCTTAGCATATTAAGAAAAGAGATACAAAAAATAAAATTACACATAAAGAAGTAGAAGAATAG